AGCGTTGCTGATCCGGAACCTGCCAGCAGTTTGCTGGACTTGTGGTTGACGGCCTCCACGGCGGTGCCCCCAGTGGAACTGTGTTTTGGCTGGCCTGTGTCCGGGGTAGACTCAGCTTGATCAAAGGATTCGTCAAGAGACCACGAGAGCACCGAGGACTTGGCACCGAGAGGATCCAGCGTCTTCAGGAGAAGACGGCCGTGTATATACTTCCCCTGTGTAGTGTTAATACCCCTCCCCCTGTGTAACTTTTATATATTACTTATTGGTGAAGGTAATTATAATCTTACGTTTTTGCCTTTCTTTCCCTTCCCCTTTTATTTTACTTGCGTCACGGATCTCATCCCTTGAAAGCCACTACTGGCTTGGGGCCGGATACCCTTCCTCTAATAACATCAGAGTACGAACCCAGTTGCGACCCGAGAGGGCCGTAACACTTGTGTTCATGTATGCGGGTGTGTTGAACCTTGTTGTCATGTGTGCTGGTGTGGTGAACCTTGTGTTCATGTATGCAGGTGTGGTGAACCTTGTTGTCATGTTTGCAGGTGTGGTGAACCTTGTGGTCATGTATGCTGGTGTGGTAAACCTTGTAGTCATGTATGCAGGTGTGGTGAACCTTGTAGTCATGTATGCAGGTGTGGTGAACCTTGTGGTCTTGTATGCTGGTGTGGTGAACCTTGTGGTCATGTATGCTGGTGTGGTGAACCTTGTGGTCATGTATAGTGGTGGGGTGAACCTTGTGGTCATGTATGCTGGTGTGTTGAACCTTGTGTTCATGTATGCAGGTGTGGTGAAACTTGTGTTCATGTATGCAGATGTGGTGAACCTTGTTGTCAAGTGTGCTGGTGTGGTGAACCTTGTGGTCATGTATGCGGGTGTGGTGAACCTTGTTGTCATGTATGCTGGTGTGGTGAACCTTGTGGTCATGTATGGGTGTGTTGTGAACCCTGGGGTCATGTATGCTGGTGTGGTGAACCTTGTGGTCATGTATGGTGGTGTGATGAACCTTGTGGTCATGTATGCTAGTGTGGTGAACCTTGTGGTCATGTATGGTGGTGTGGTGAACCTTGTGGTCATGTATGCTGGTGTGGTGAACCTTGTGGTCATGTATGCTGGTGTGGTGAACCTTGAGGTTATGTATGTTGGTGTGGTGAATGACGTCATGTATGCTGGTGTGGTGAACCTTGTGGTCATGAATGCTGGCGTGGTGAACCTTGTGGACATGTATGCTGGTGTGGTGAACCTTGTGGTCATGTATGTTGGTGTGGTGAACGTTGTGGTCATGTATGCTAGTGGGGTGAACCTTGTGTTCATGTATGCTGGTGTGGTGAACCTTGTGGTCATGTATGGTGGTGTGGTGAATCTTGTGGTCATGTATGCTAGTGTGGTGAACCTTGTGGTCATGTATGCTGGTGTGGTGAACCTTGTGGTCATGTATGCTGGTGTGGCGAACCTTGTGGTCATGTATGCTGGTGTGGTGAACCTTGTGGTCATGTATGGTAGTGTGTTGTACCTTGTGGTCATGTATGCTCGTGTGGTGAACCTTGTGGTCATGTATGCTGGTGTTGTGAACCTTGTGGTCATGAATGGTGGTGTGGTGAACCTTGTGGTCATGTACGCTGGTGTGGTGACCCTTGTGGTCATGTACGCTGGTGTGGTGACCCTTGTGGACATGTATGCTGGTGTGGTGAACCTTGTGTTCATGTATGTGGGTGTGGTGAACCTTGTTGACATGTGTGCTGGTGTGGTGAACCTTGTGTTCATGTATGCGGGTGTGGTGAACCTTGTTGTCATGTTTGCAGGTGTGGTGAACCTTGTGGTCATGTATGCTGGTGTGGTAAACCTTGTAGTCATGTATGCAGGTGTGGTGAACCTTGTGGTCATGTATGCTGGTGTGGTGAACCTTGTGGTCATGTATGCTGGTGTGGTGAACCTTGTGGTCATGTATGGTGGTGTGGTGAACCTTGTGGTCATGTATGCTGGTGTGTTGAACCTTGTGTTCATGTATGCAGGTGTGGTGAACCTTGTGTTCATGTATGCAGGTGTGGTGAACCTTGTTGTCATGTGTGCTGGTGTGGTGAACCTTGTGGTCATGTATGCGGGTGTGGTGAACCTTGTTGTCATGTATGCTGGTGTGGTGAACCTTGTGGTCATGTATGCTGGTGTGGTGAGGACTGTGGTCATGTATGCTGGTGTAGTGAACCTTGTGGTCATGTATGCTGGTGTGGTGAACCTTGTGGTCATATATGGTGTGGTGAACCTTGTGGTCGTGTATGCAGGTGTGGTGAACCTTATGGACATGTATGCTGGTGTGGTGAACCTTATGGTCATGTATGCTGGTGTGGTGAACCTTGTGGTCATGTATGTTGGTGTGGTGAACCTTGTGGTCATGTATGCTAGTGGGGTGAACCTTGTGGTCATGTATGGTGGTGTGGTGAATCTTGTGGTCATGTATGTTGGTGTGGTGAACCTTGTGGTCATGTATGCTGGTGTGGTGAACCTTGTGGTCATGTATGTTGGTGTGGTGAATGACGTCATGTATGCTGGTGTGGTGAATCTTGTGGTCATGTATGGTGGTGTGGTGAATCTTGTGGTCATGTATGCTAGTGTGGTGAACCTTGTGGTCATGTTTGCTGGTGTGGTGAACCTTGTGGTCATGTATGCTGGTGTGGTGAACCTTGTGGTCGTGTATGGTGGTGTGGTGAACCTTGTGGTCATGTATGCTGGTGTGGCGAACCTTGTGGTCATGTATGCTGGTGTGGTGAACCTTGTGGTCATGTATGGTAGTGTGTTGTACCTTGTGGTCATGTATGCTAGTGTGGTGAACCGTATGGTCATGTATGGTGGTGTGGTGAACCTTGTGGTCATGTACGCTGGTGTGGTGACCCTTGTGGTCACGTATAATGGTGTGGTGAACCTTGTATTCATGTATGCTGGTGTGGTGAACCTTGTGGTCATGTTTGCTGGTGTGCTGAACCTTGTGGTCATGTATGCAGGTGTGGTGAACCTTGTTGTCATGTGTGCTGGTGTGGTGAACCTTGTGTTCATGTATGCGGGTGTGGTGAACCTTGTTGTCATGTGTGCTGGTGTGGTGAACCTTGTGTTCTTGTATGCGTGTGTGGTGAACCTTGTTGTCATGTTTGCGGGTGTGGTGAACCTTGTGGTCATGTATGCTGGTGTGGTGAACCTTGTGGTCATGTATGGTGGTGTGGTGAACCTTGTGGTCATGTATGGTGGTGTGGTGAACCTTGTGGTCATGTATGCTAGTGGGGTGAACCTTGTGGTCATGTATGCTAGTGTGGTAAACCTTGTATTCATGTATGCAGGTGTGGTGAACCTTGTTGTCATGTATGCAGGTGTGGTGAACCTTGTGGTCATGTATGCTGGTGTGGTGAACCTTGTGGTCATGTATGCTGGTGTGGTGAGCCTTGTGGTCATGTATGGTGGTGTGGTGAACCTTGTGGTCATGTATGGTGTGGTGAACCTTGTGGTCATGTATGCTGGTGTGGTGAACCTTGTGTTCATGTATGTAGGTGTGAGTTGAACCTTGTTGTCATCTTTGCTGGTGTGGTGAACCTTGTGGTCATGTATGCGGGTGTGGTGAACCTTGTGGTCATGTATGCTAGTGTGGTGAACCTTGTGGTCATGTATTCTGGTGTGTTAAACCTTGTGGTCATGTACGGTGGTGTGGTGAACCTTGTGGTCATGTATGCTGGTGTGGTGAACCTTGTTGTCATGTATGCTGGTGTGGTGAACCTTGTGGTCATGTATGCTGGTGTGGTGAGCCTTGTGGTCACGTATGCTGGTGTGGTGAACCTTGTGGGCATGTATGCTGGTGTGGTAAACCTTGTGGTCATGTATGCTAGTGTGGTGAACCTTGTGGTCATGTATGCTGGTGTGGTAAACCTTGTGGTCATGTATGGTGTTGTGGTGAACCTTGTGGTCATGTATGGTGGTGTGGTGAACCTTGTGGTCATGTATGCTGGTGTGGTGAGCCTTGTGGTCATGTATGCTGGAGTGGTGTACCTTGTGGTCATGTATGGTGGTGTGGTGAACCTTGTGGTCATGTATGGTGGTGTGATGAACCTTGTGGTCATGTATGCTGGTGTGGTGAACCTTGTGGTCATGTATGCTGGTGTGGTGAACCCTGTGGTCATGTATGCTGGTTTGGTGAACCTTGTGGTCATGTATGCTGGCGTGGTGAACCTTGTGGTCATGTATGCTGGTGTGGTGAGCCTTGTGGTCATGTATGCTGGCGTGGTGAACCTTGTGGTCATGTATGCTGGTGTGGTGAACCTTGTGGTCATGTATGGTGGTGTGGTGAACCTTGTGGTCGTGAACGCTGGCGTAGTGGTTGTAGTTCTTACAACGCCAAGGTAGAGGTAGACATGTGGTTCTAATTGTTTGTAGTGTGGATCTTCAACATCACTCACAGAGAACACCATTAGTGTGTACAATATTTAACACACTTGACACTACTGTGGAGACCATGTATCTGTGGCCGACGTCTTCAGATGAGTGTAGAGACACGTTTGTCCCATGAGACTTACTCATTACTTAATACAGACAATATTTGTAAACTTCCATACGTAAGTTCTAAACAGCATCACACTCAGCTGCCCAGCAAGAAGCAGCATAAGAGCCCCCAGCATAACCTCTCCTGCATCTCCCGATCTTCATGAAATATTCCCACAGTCAGTGATTCCATCTTTTTCAAAAGAAAACGATCTTAACATTCGAGGGGAGACTTAAATTTTGAGGACTTCGGTGCCGGTCACTTGACATGTTTTTCCTCAATATAAAAAAAAGTTTGTTTTAGAAGGGTGAACAATTGGCCCAAGAAATGAACATTTTAAACGCTAGCGGATCTCCCACCTACTTGATATGGTATTGATTATTTACATTCTATTATTCCTTGATTAATGAAATACTATTAATCTTTTGTTGAACTTTAAAACAAATACTTTTATGAAATAACAAAAATTAAGATTACCACACACCTCTTTTTGGTAGACGATGATAACCTGAGGATGTCTGAAGTGCCACCAGCTCTAAACTCCCTCTTTAACTGAGCGCTTTTTGCTGCTTGCTTTAACAAAAGCTTAACCCTCGCTGGTTTACCAGAAGCTGTAGGCTGGAGAGTTGTTGAGGAAAGTTTGTCTTTAATCACGTATCACATCACACCAGGACACACTGTGAATGTGGCCAAGTGTCACACACAGGACAAGGCCTTGTGGTCACTCAATGGTCAATACTTCCGGGACACCATGAACAGTGTTCACACCAGATAATATCAATACATCCTGGTAAAACCAAAAGCAAGACACTTCACACACACGAGAACTGTTAACAGTACACTACTGACAACTACACTGGCGTCAACGGTAACACACGAGAACTGTTAACGGTACACTAGTGACAACTACACTGGCGTCAACGGTAACACCAGATAAGAGCACACAAGTCACCGCTACGCTTATCTATATCGAGGTGGACGGAACGTTGAACGACAAAAAGCGACACCAGTGACAAAAATATGGGTTCCTTTCTAGATTATCTTCCACACTAATGAGACAACTCTCTGGTATCTGCTATGTTACTGGTGATATTTATCACACACTACTGGTCTGTGTGTACTCTGTGCTCCCTCTGTGTTACTGCAACCCGCTCTGGCTATAACATAGTACCTATGTGGCCAAAGGCTTATATGCTAATAAAATAAATAAATAAAATAAATATGTTTATTCAGGTAAGGTATATACATACAAGTGATGTTACATTAATGGATTGATATATAGATAGAGCTAGTACATACAATGCCTAAAGCCACTATTACGCAATGCGTTTCGGGCAAGAATTAGCATAATGAGCATAATGTTCATAGTTTATCTGTGGTAGATTTCCAGCTATTTCCTATCACCAGGCACCAACCCTTCCTCAAGTACCATAGTCTCATAGTACCCGTCACAATACTGTAAAGAGCATAAGGGTCCGTTTGCTCAAATTTTAATGGATGCTTGTATTTTTCCAGTAAAACTTCTGATGTGAAATTTACGTAATATTTCCCATGTTATTCGAGTATCATGGATAAACTACATCCAATTGAAGGCTCGTAGTTTTGTTTTGAGAAATCTTGGTAGTTTTAAATAAATTATAATAAGCATTAAAAATTATTACATATTATTATGGGGCTCTAAATGAATTTAATATACAATTGTGTGTGCTTTGAAATCTAAAGAGAGTGAATTGCAGGAACGTCAACAGAAAATAATAATAATAAAAATAAAAATAATAATATTTTATTTAGGAAAAGTACATACATGCAGATTTACAAACATTCTGATTGATTTATAGATAGAGCTAGTACATACAATACCTAAAGCCACTAGTACACATAGCGTTTCAGGCAAAACAACCCGAAGTTAAGTTGAAATGGGGTACACTACTAAAACCAGGATAGATCTATGGTCCACAACAAATCTCACGATGAGTCCACTACCACCTAAAAGGATAGGTATGGGGTCCACTATCACCTGTTGGATGGGTAAGGGGTCCACTACCACCTATAGGATGGGTATAGGATGGTCCATTACAGCCTCATTATTGGCATGGGGTGAATTACTGCCCACAGCATGGGCATGGGGTCCACTACCGCCAACAGGAAGATTATGGGGTTCACTTCCACCACAGGAAGGTTATGAGGTCCACTACCCCAAAGCATGGGTATGGGGAACACTACCGCCCAGAGGATGAATGTATGGTCCACTTCCTCCTGTATGATGGGTATGTGGCCCAGTACCGCCCACAGGATGAGTATGGGGTCCCCCTAAGGCCCTCAGGAGAAGTATGGGTTACACTACTGCCCACATGATAGGTATGGGGGGGAACACTACCGCCCGGAAGATGGGTGAATAGTTCACTTCTGCCCACAGAATGGGTATGGGTCCTCTACCGCCTCGGGATGGGACCCCCAGGTGTCCACTACCACCTGAAGATAATTATGGAGTCCGCTACTGCCTACAGGATCAAGTACTGCCCAGAGGATTGCTAAAGAGTGCGGTACTGCCCCATACCCTTCCGGTAGTGCCTATGGGATCTGGTACTCTAGGTGGGACCAAAGAGCCAAAGCTCAACACCTGCAAGCACAATTAGGGGAGTACAGGATGGGTATGGCGTCCTCTACCCTCCACAGAATGGGTACTGGGTCAACTACTGCACACAGGATGGGGTACGGGGTCAACTACAGTCACAGGTTGGGGTATGGGGTCAACTACAGCTCACGGGTTGGGGTATGGGGTCAACTACAGTCACAGGTTGGGGTATGGGGTCAACTACAGTCACAGGCTGGGGTATGGGATCAAATATAGCTCACGGGATGGGGTATGGGGTCAAATATTGCTCATGGGTTGGGGTATGGGGTCACCTACAGCTTATGAGTTGGGGTATGGGGTCAGCTACAGCTCACGAGTTGGGGTATGGGGTCAACTACAACTCACGAGTTGGGGTATGGGGTCAACTACAGCTCACCGGTTGGGGTATGGGGTCAACTGCAGCTCATGGGTTGGGATATGGGGTCAACTACAGCTCATGGGTTGGGGTATTGGGTCAACTACAGCTCACGGGTTGGGGTATGGGGTCAACTACAGCTCACGGGTTGGGGTATAGGGTCAAATATCGCTCACAGGTAGGGGTATAGGGTCAACTACAGCTCATGGGATGGGGTATGGGGTCAACGACAGCTCATGGGTTGGGGTATGGGGTCAACAACAGTCACAGGTTGAGGTTTGGGGTCAACTACAGCTCACGGGTTGGGGTATGGGGTCAACTACAGTCACAAGGTTGGGGTATGGGGTCAACTACAGCTCACAGGTTGGGGAATGGGGTCAACTACAGTCACGGGTTGGGGAATGGGGTCAACTCTAGCTCATGGGTTGGGGTATGGGGTCCACTACAGCTCATAGCTTGGGGTATGGGGTCAACTTTAGCTCTCGGGTTGGGGTATGGGGTCAACTATAGCTCACGAATTGGGGTATGGGGTCCTCTGCAGTTCATGGGTTGGAGTATGGGGTCCACTACAGCGCATGGGTTGGGGTATGGGGTCAACTTTAGTTCACAGGTTAGGGTATGGGGTCCACTGCAGCTCATGGGTTGGGGTATGGGGTCAACTGCAGTCACAGGTTGATGTATGGGGTCAACTACAGCTCACGGGTTGGGGTATGGGGTCAACTACAGCTCACGGGTTGGGGTATGGGGTCAACTACAGCTCATGGGTTGGGGTATGGGGTCAACTACAGCTCACGGGTTGGGGTATGGGGTCAACTACAGCTTACGGGTTGGGGTATGGGGTCAACTACGCCTCACGGGTTGGGGTATGGGGTCAACTACAGCTCAAGGGATGGGGTATGGGGTCAACTACAGCTCACGGGTTGGGTTATGGGGTCAACTACAGCTTACGGGTTGGGGTATGGGGTCAACTACAGCTCAAGGGATGGGGTATGGGGTCAAGTATAGCTCACGGATTGGGGTATGGGGTCAACGACAATTCATGGGATGGGGTATGTGGTCAACTACAACTCACAAGTTGGGGTATGGGGTCACAGCTCATAGGTTGGGGAATGGGGTCAACTACAGCCAATGGGTTGGGGTGTGGGGTCAGCTAAAGCTCATGGGTTGGGGTATGGGTTCAGCTACAGCTCATGGGTATTGGTATGGGGTCAACTACAGCTCATGGGTTGGGGTATGGGGTCACAGCTCATAGGTTGGGTTATGGGGTCAACTACAGCTCCCAGCTTGGGGTATGGGGTCACCCACAGGTCATGGGATGAAGTATTTGCTCAACTACAGCTCACGGGTTGGGGTATTGGGTCCACTACAGATCAAGAATTGGGGTATGGGGTCCACTACCGTTCACGAGTTGGGGTATAGGGTCAACCACTGCACATAGGATGGGGTATGGGGTCAACTACAGCTCACGAGTTGGGATATGGGGTCAACTACAGCTCACGAGTTGGGGTACGGGTCAACTACAGCTCACGGGTTGGGGTATGGGGTCAACTGCAGCTCATGGGTTGGGGTACGGGGTCAACTGCAGCTCATGGGTTGGGGTACGGGGTCAACTACAGCTCATCGGTTGGGGTATGGGGTCATATATAGCTCATGGGTTGGGGTATGGGGTCAACTACAGCTCACGGGTTGGGGTATGGGGAACACCAAACCTCATGGGTTGGGGTATGGGGTCAACTACAGCTCATGGGCTGGGGTTTGGGGTCAACTACACCTCATGGGGTGGGGTATGGGGTCTACTACAGCTAATGGGTTGGGGTATGGGGTCAAATATAGCTCACGGGTTTGGGTATGGGGTCAACTACAGCTTATGGGATGGGGTATGGGGTCAACTTAAGCTCACGGGTTGGGGTATGGGGTCAACAACAGTCACAGGTTGAGGTAAGGGGTCAACTACAGCTCACGGGTTGGGGTATGGGGTCAACTACAGTCACAGGTTGGGGAATGGGGTCAACTTTAGCTCACGGGTTGGGGTATGGGGTCCACTACATCTCATAGCTTGGGTTATGGGGTCACCTACAGCTCACAGGTTAGGGTATGGGGTCAACTACAGTCACAGGTTGGGGAATGGGGTTAGCTTTAGCTCACGGATTGGGGTATGGGGTCCACTACATCTCATAGCTTGGGGGTATGGGGTCAACTTTAGCTCTCGGGTTGGGGTATGACGTCAACTGCAGTCACAGGTTGATGTATAGTGTCAACAACAGCTCACGTGTTGGGGTATGGGGTCACTACAGCTCACGGGTTGGGTTATGGGGTCAACTACAGCTCAAGGTATGGGGTATGGGGTCAACTACAGCTCACGGGTTGAGGTATGGGGTCAACTACAGCTCACGGGTTGGGTTATGTGATCAACTACAGCTCACGGTTTGGGGTATGGGGTCAACTACAGCTCAAGGGATGGGGTATGGGGTCAACTATAGCTCACGGATTTGGGTATGGGGTCAACGACAGTTCATGGGATGGGGTATGGGGTCAACTACAGCACACAAGTTGGGGTATAGGGTCACAGCTCATAGGTTGGGGTATGGGGTCAACTACAGCCCATGGGTTGGGTTATGGGGTCAACTACAGCTCACAGGTTGGGGTATGGGGTCACCTACAGGTCATGGGATGGGGTATTTGCTCAACTACAGCTCACGGGTTGGAGTATTGGGTCCACTACAAATCATAGGTTGGGGTATGGGGTCCACTACCGTTCACGAGTTGGGGTATAGGGTCAGCCACTACACATAGAATGGGGTATTGGGTCAACTACAGCTCACGAGTTGAGTTATAGGGTCAACTACAGCTCACGAGTTGGGTTATGGGGACAACTACAGCTCATGGGATGG